CACACACACACACACACACACACACACACACACACACACACACACACACACACACACACACACACACACACACACACACACACACACGCATACACACAGAGGGCAGAGCCACGCCGCCACACTGCATGCAAGAGATAACTCAGCAGTTTGGTTGTCCCCTGTTCCAACTCCTCCCATAAGCCACATCAAACCCAGGAGGGGTTTTGGAGGAAGCCGAGAGGGGGAGAAAGAGAGAGAGAGAAAGAGACATAAAGGGAGAAAGAAAGGGAGGAGAGGGCCATAAAGCCTGCGTGCCCACCTTGTTCCTTTGCCACGTTTATTGTTGCGTTTTTAATTTGCATGCAGAGGGATTTGGACGGCGCTCCAGTTGGGCTGTCTGTGGTTTCAGCTGATTCGGTAGTGAGGGAGAACACACACACACACAGCCCACTGACACACACACAGATGCAAACACACTACCACACACCATCTTGTCAAAGCCAGAGAAACTGTACCCCGGCCCAACGATGGAGTAATCCAACTCAAACACTCCCAAAACCAGCAGGATTAAACCCAAAGTAGCAGAGCCAATCAAACAAAAGCACGACGTGAACTCTATTTCAATGCCAGGAAGTCCATTTGATGAAATAAAGTACCGAGAGTTTATTAGTTCACAAGTGTGGATGTTTGTTTGGGTGGCGTTTTACTTTTCAGCCTGCATTTCTAGACTTTTTGAGCTGACATTCAGCTTTTTATCGAAGGAGGTGAAGGGAGAATCACACGGGCATTGAGCGAACGTTTTTATGTGATGTACGTCAAACAGCAGTTAGCGCTGTGGACAGTGGACAGTCAGCATTTTCCATGGCAGTTTCAAGAGCTTTGTTTGTGTTTGTCTAATTGCATTGCTTCCACAGACCAGACAGAGGCAGCGGGGATAAAGAGAGGACAGAGAGATGGTGAGAAATAGAAAAAGAGAGAGTGAGTGAGAGAAGCTATTTGACTCCCTTGTTGCCAGTAAACTTCAAAAGAAAAAAAGTGGATATTGTAAATGTCATAAAACTTTTTACTGCTATAATGTAAATGAGTGTGGAATTTATTTCAAGTCAAACTTAGTTATACAGTATGACAACAATATTCCTAAAGAATGATTAAACCAACAATATGTTATGTTCCACATTACCCTACTGTTGCAGATCTGTTTTCCCCTTTATTATTTAACAGAGTTTGTTGAGCCTCTCCACCGCAGCTGACAAGCACCAGCCGCTCTTGATTGGATCATGGACTTGCTGCCCCTGCCGCTAAAGTGTTCCAACACGGTCCAGAAAACAAACATCTAGGGCTCTTCAATTCAGTGTACTCTGTGTTTTGTTGAAGATCATTAAGAGCTCTCTATAAATAAATAGAAACGGTGGTTCGGAGTAGGCCCGCTGGTGGGGCAACACAGAATACCCTGCAGAGTTTCACAACTCGTGTTCGGTCTAGAAACGTTATCATGTCAAAGTCTGGCCATCATGACCACAAAGTATGGCAGCGACAGGAACCACACTACCAGAAAAAGTATTCGACTGATGAGATGGCTTATCGTCACTTCCAGCAAACCCACAGTTATATGAACATTTTTACTTTAAAGATAGGACTTAGATTGTGTGGTTGAGTCTCACACTTCTCATCAACACCCACTATAAAAAAGGCATTTCCAGAAAACCATGTGATACAAGCAGTTTTTAATCAAATGTTAAAGATTATTCACTTCATGAGAGTCAAAAGAAATGTCACAGACAGAGCAGCATCCTGAACAAGGAATTTCAAAACCTCAACTTTTAGTATTAGGATGTTGTGATCAGGCTTTTCTGTCTAATTTTCCATATGTATTTGTTTACCATTTGTAAAGGAAAAATATAATGGAAGAATTGATCAAATAATTGCTGCGCTCAGTAAGACCAGTATGAGTAGAAATAACTACACATTGAAATAGAGATGATGAGCTTTGGAGGTGACCTACTGTAATAAACTAACCAATGTATTTCCAAACGTAGATTACCATGAAATCATAGAGTAAGTGGTAAACTGCAAAGGCAGGATGTTTTGATGCTAAATACATCTCTCAGTTGAACTCACAGATGCTGCAAACAGGTTCATTGGAGCAATAAGTACTGACAGGCACAGGATTATCTTGCTTTGTTGGCACACACCTGCGACAATATTGCACAATAATCCGCTGCCTCTAGGTCACCGTTGCCTAATTATTAATTAGTTTCAAACAACAGGAATGACAATCAAGAATCAGCAGCCCTTTCTAAATGTACAGCATTCACAGATCTGTCCGGGGGTTAATAGGGCTTCGGGGTCATAAGGTCCAAAGAATTAAAAGGGTAATAAACTCTTCAGCAGGCCATTGTACAGTCTGGGTATAAATAGCAACCGAGGTCCTGATAAAAATATTTCCCTCCCAACACAATAGTTGAATTCATGCGCGAGATTCACCCAGCTATGCAATGCGGTGCACCGTGTATGTGAGTGCTGCAGTCACAAGCTGCCAATAAGCGCATAGGCCTGCTCTGTCAGAGAACAGCATGGTATTCACCGCCCAGCCCGTACACCCATCACCACGGCAAACAGTCCCAACATGAAAGCTCACAGAAACCCAGATGAGCAACTGGCTGTGCAGTGAGACAGGGAATTACAGACAGACAGACAGACAGACAGACAGACAGACAGACAGACAGACAGACAGAGGGGTCTGTCACACGGCCCGGCCAACACCTTCCCTCTAATCTCATTTGCTTGTTATCAGTCCCATCAGGCTGACCTCGGCCACTGCAAGAATAAATAAATAAAATAAGCCAACAGATGTCCATCCATTTGCCATCGGAGGTTTTCCCCCTCCTTCCTCTGATTACTGCGTGACCAAAAATCAAGCCTCAGCTTTAACCCCAAAAACGAACTATACGAGTATTTCACATACCATTTGGACAAAAATGAAAATAGCCAAGATGACACGTCAAAGAAATGAAGGACAAAATGATGGTGGCCATTGTTGTGGCTGGCGGTTGGAGGACAGGGCTGTTTAGGAGGAGCAGACAAACCTCTTCTGTGTCTGAACAAGCGAGGGAGCTAAAAGTAGGGGAAGACAATGCATTATTGTCTTCCCTCCTCTTTGAACCTGGCAGAGGCCCAGCACTGGCAGACAGCACCATGCAGATAAATGCAACTGATAACATGTTTCTCCTCCCTGAGCAGGCCAATCGGGCGGCTGCACGTGCGCGCTCACCCCGCAAGGTAACGTGAGCTGTGTTGTAAAAACATTAGGCCATGGTGGACGCCCATCTGCTGACGATGGTGGTGTGTTGAAATGTTCCTGATGCGCGGGCATATGCGAATCTCCCGCAACAATAAGCAATAATTGACTGCAAATTCAGCGGCAGATTCTTTTGTGGAGAATAAGTCTTTATACACAAGTAGAACCGCTTTGAGTGACTGTACAAATAATCTTTGGCGTTCAGTGAGGAAGAAATCACAATGGAAAGGAGGTCAGTGGCCTTACTTGAACTGCAATGGAAATTGGAAGGATAGCAATGATGCTTAAAGATATTATGAAGAAGACATTGTACTCCAAAGCCAAACCATAACAACGTTAAATCCTATTTATTGGAGTGTTAGCGTCTTTATTCAATTTCTTCTTTAAAATCTACACAGCCATTGACAGTAGTTGGCTCAACATGCGGTGCAACAATTACTTTATACAGCTGCTGGTAATAACTTGCAGTAAGTCAGGTGTGCAATGGCCCAAACCTTGAAAGAAGAAGTCTATTGAGTGTTAATCCAAATGTGTTCTCCCCCTGCGGTCGTGATGTAATGGTCCCACCATCAATGCTTTGAGTGTAAGGCATTAATTCAAGGTTCAAAGTAGGATTCAACCCGGTGATAATCGTGGTATCTCCAGAACACTGGATGAATAAGGATGGTTATGTTCTGTATAATCGTGTTTATGTTCTTTCACTGACTATGGGATAGGGAGATGATCGTGGCAAGGGCAATGTTTGCACACAAAAAAGACTCCTAGCAAGATCTTAACATACACATTTGTCTTTGTAAAGGAAAGGAGATTACTGAGCTGTGCATTCATTATATACCCAAAGTAATCGTGTTTGCATTTGCTCATTCCATTGAAGTTTAAAGGTTTGCCCTGAAACCGGCTTTAGATCTCAAAATACTAATTTACCGAGAGTTTCTGAGGCTTTTTTCAACAGGCTCCATGTTGTGTTCTCCATGATCTGACGTGTAGTTTTTGGACCATGTCAACGTAGAGTATGTAGAAAAAATAACTCCACTTCTACTGACAGCTATTCATTCTGGGAATTTAATCTAGCTCACTTCTCTAACCAATTATATCATGAAAAGCATGAAAGGACTTCAACAACATAAAGTAAAACACAACGCAGCAGAAAGTATGAAGCTGTTAAATATTTCAAATAGTTGTACAGGTAAAAAATCATTTGTTATAGATAAAGGAAATTCAAATGTTTTCTAAAAATATACTTCTTCGTCTGGACTCAATCTGAGGCTGCTCACCATATGGTGATCAGAGAGTGGTATTTATTGTTAAACACCGTTTCATTTACCTCTGCTTCATTATTAAAACATCGCCATCTGATTGGAATTCACACGCTGGTCTTGAGAAGTTATTAGAAGGCATAATAAAAACAACAGTTGATTTGCAACCACAGTAATGGGTGATGACATTTCTAGTTCTCATATGTACCGATCATGAAGCTGGTTTTCTCTTGAGGAAAGCTTTTGAGGATTAAAAACTGAGTCATCTTAAATAATTTGAAACTTGCCTTTAAAAAATATTCCTTTATTATTTAATCGCGTTGGTATGACTCTGATGTCTTGTCACAGTGGATGCTCTCCAGATTCTGGTTGCCAGATTGTGACACTGTCCTCTTTTGTTAGGATGTCAGTAGCTGAGCTTTAGGAGAGAAATTAATCATACATGCCAAACAATTAATCTCTATTCGAGCTGCGACATGGAGAAGTCTTAGCCAAACAGTGAACGTTTTCTGAAGAGGGGTCGCGACCTCTCCAGATACAATAAGCGAGTTGACAACAATAACAGACTGACAGCTAACACGACACACATTGTGGAGGCAAGGCATGACTGTGCAGGAAATGGCCCTCTCTGTGTCAGCACTTGCTCCCACAAACAATACCAACCAGTTCTGTGTGGCCGCTTACGTCATGGCTGCTGAACCAATAAAGTGTGCAGGGAATTTTCGAGCAACCAAATAGAGGCAGATGGAGCATAAAGAATAACCAAAGGCAAATGACCAGTCCATCTAAAATGGAGCACATTAAACATCTGTGTGGTTACAGCATTTCTTTTTATAACTGAACGTTTTGTTCTCTTTCAACAAAGATCTTATTCACACTCAACTGCACCGAACAAAGTAACCATAGTAGGAGTTCACTGTTAAACCACAGTCTAGTCATCCAGGATAAGTGCCTTGCTTAAGGACACAAGAACAGATAACATAGAAGATATCTAATTTAAATGAATATGGTATCTATAAATTAGATTGCAAAAATGTTTTAATATGTTCAGTATTTGTCAACATTACTAGATACAGTAGTATCACTTATAAAAACCAGTCAATATCACATTTGAGTGAAACTATGTTCTTTATGACCACCAGAGCACATCACACTGTTCATGAATACAAAATGGCTGAAAATGGAGTCACTGATGATGCTACAGTACATGCGTCACTTTGTATCAAATATTAGTTTTGTTTGAATGGCACTGTAATCTACTTTAGCCTGGCGGTGGGCTGATATTTGGGTGTTCAAACACTGTTCTCTCCCACCACAAATGTACCTCCTGTTTACAATCTCCTCTGTTCAATACTGCTGAGGCAGATGGAGGATGAATGCAGAGAAGACAACAAAAACACAGAAGACGATCTAGAGATAAACAACAACGGCAGCAACATTACAAACGCAGAAAGCACCTACATGTCTGATTCCATCAATTATAAGAGCTTGATTGAGATTTAATTCAAAGCTGGGGTTTAATTGCTAATATCAAAGTATAATTAGGCTGATAAATCGTGACTGATCTTATTGAATTAGCAATTGAAATAGCAGAGAACCAGTAAATTGTCTATGTCAGCTAAATAAGTGTTCTTAATTGGCCGACAAGTTTTCTTCAGATATTAATGAAACTGAACACATTTCCATCCCCAAAAAGTGTTCACAAATAGAAAGTCTTCAATGCAGTTGTTGATTCAGCTCCATGGCTGTGTGTCTTGTTCCACTTGTATATTCATCTTGAAGTTAACATAGAGTGTTATTCAAGTGGCAACATCGTAAATGTCAAATGTCCTATGGCTAAAAAGGCAACTTATCCTATGTCCTCTTTAGGCACAATTCATGCAGTAATAAAGTGAAGAATAGGATGAAGACAGATGGATGAGGATGGAAAGTATGTTTTACTCCGAGAAAGAGAGATAAGGACAGAGAGAGGGGACTGTGAAGGAAAGAAAGATCAATTAATGCGAGCAAGACCAAGTGCACAGAAGCAGCAGCACGAGCACTGGGATAGGTCTTAATTTCTCCCCATGCGATTCCCCCCCACACACACTCCTGTATGCCCACACACTCACACAGACTCTCTCTCTCTCCCTCTCTCAGACCGCATCTGCCGGAGCTAGTGGCTGTAGTTAAATTGAAATATTTCCCGGCGTGTGTCAGAAGCATGCAGAATGATAATTATGACAGATCTGATTAGGCGGGCCGAGTCGGGCGGCTCCGGGCTGCAGGTGCGACCTTGTGCATTCCTGAGTGTGTAAATAAAATTAATTACAAGCGTAGGGGGCGCGCAGCGCGTGACATCAGCGCGCACAGAGGGGACTCCCACGGGGGGTACCCTAATGGAATATTTTCCCCGAGTCTAATAATACAGTTGGTATTGACTTGAGGTAATTAGGGGGATCATTAAAGCGCTTTTCCCGGCGTATTTGCCTGCCTGATCAGATTAGTGAAAATGGGCCTCAGAACAAGCCCTGTGTGGTCTGTCAGGAGAAGTGGAGACAGTGGGAGAGGGTTAGCTAGCAAACATGTGCAGGAAAGAAAGAGCAAGCAGATACTGAGCCTGGGACACGGTAGCATTTGCTAACAAGAGGGCAAGGGCGATGGCTAGTAGGGTAAGCTTGAGGCTAGTAGGTTAAGCACTGGTTAGGCTTTGAGAAATGTTCTTTAAAAGAGGGCCATTAACTATTTTGAAAGTGCTAGCTCAGCCACCGGTGAACTGACTAACACCTTCTCCAAAGTAGAAAACATTTGTCTTGTAATAATGCACTCGAGATGATGACAGAGAGAGAATTTAGAGTCCTTACATTCGGGGCACAATCCTAGTTTGGACTGCCGGGTAGGAGGCAGGCGAGGAGGAGGGAGTGGGTTGTGCAATTGGAGACAGATGGGGTGAGAGGTGGCATGTAAGGCGTAAGTGAGAGAGATGGCAGGAGAGACACAAAGTGCTCTGGGCATGCTCAGTGAGACCCCCGGGCTCCTGCTAAGAGGAGGACAGTTCGATGAAACAGGACGTGGAGAGAGAACTGGCTGGTGGGAATTCCACTGTCCATTAAACAATAAGAGAAAGGCTCATTTCAGAGGGAGGGGAAGACTTACCGTTTGCTAGATAATTCATTCGCTAAATTAATTATTCAGACAGCTGGGTCTCCAGTTCAAGAAATTGTGTCTTTAATAATAGAGAGGATCTGGCCTAGCCTGTTTCCCATGGCAACCTAATAACCAAGCAGGCACAGGAGATAAATAAATAAATGAATTAATAAACAGTCACGGCCCTTTTAGATCCCTCTGGGTTGTGATATGCTTGCTCTGATCTGCCTAATTTCAGAGAGAGAGAGGTGTGGAGAACTGTGAGTCTACAAACTAGACATCTTGATGCCTGTCCTGCTATTGCTAGAAAGTAAAACTTATAAAAAGTGGAGCAAAATGTCACTATGCTGCTCCAACAAACAGCCGCCAGAAGTTCCTGATGTAATCACAACTTCACTATATCAATTGTACTATCTTAGGATGTCATTTATTGCCATTTGTACACAAGGCTTCATGCAAAACATGACTTCTAACATGCTGACCCCAAGTGGCTTCTCAGTAACAGTCAAACCTCTAAACTGTCACAATCCAGAAACAGACACCCAAAAGGTCAGCCATCTGCCCCTCTAGTTAATCAGCCAGTGCATGGAGCAGAATGACAGAAGTGGCATGTGTGTGTGTGTGTGTGTGTGTGTGTGTGTGTGTGTGTGTGTGTGTGTGTGTGTGTGTGTGTGTGTGTGTGTGTGTGTGTGTGTGTGTGTGTCTGGTTGGGTCGGTCATGTATTAAATATCTGAGATTAAAGCTAAGAAAAGTCCCCATTAAAACACGTACGACCACTAAACGTATTCCACTCGTAACAGAAAATGAGTAATTTTCCAAACATGACGGAAACAGTTCCAGTTATTCCGTCACCCTCCCTTCCTCTTCATATCAGTGTCCCCGCCCAGCCTCACCTACTTCCCCACTCCCCGCCTCTCCAGACCAACAAGGCCCTCACCACTCCCTCCATCACACCCCCCCCCACTCCAGACTGCCCGTGACCAGGCGGCGTGCAGGGTGACCAGGATGGCATACACCAACCTTCCCCCCCCCCCTCGCTCTACCCTCTCCCCCCTACTGCAACCAGGCCCCCCT